GATCTTGAACTGTGGAAACTGTGCTATATGGGCATGGACATTGTCTTACAGGCACTGAGAAAGCATTTCAATATTGAGCAGAAGGCAGACATGGTTGGATTTGTATAAATCCTTCTGGCAGGCCTGCGGATGGCTTGGAGAAGTTCAGGATGGAACACAGTGGGCTAACGCAGGAGCTGGGTGAGAAAGGAGCAGGTGGATGAGACAGGAGGTGTGCAGTGAGGCAGTGAGCACAACCTGCACTACCTGAGAAGGCCAATAAAAAAGAAAGGAAGAAAGAAATGATGCAGGCCAACAGGATTGACTTCCTTCCAGCTGCAAACAAGTGTGTATGAGAACATGGGCAGCCTGTTCTGTGGGGTGTCTACAAAAGAAACAGCCTTCAGAGAAGAAAGGGGAAAGGAAGGCTCTGTGCAGAGGTGATGGATCGTGTAAGGTAAACATTCACAATCAAAAAAAGATTTGTTAAGCAAAGGGGTCAGAGAGATCTAGGCTAAGAAAGAGAATATGATGGGGATAAAATTATTTGGAGATAGGCAATTCTGGGAGCTTCCTTTTCTCTGAATGATAAAGAACAATGGTGGAGAATGTGGAGGTGGACAATGTGGTTCCAGGGCCTGGTCTCAAATATTTGGACTGGTCCAGATCATTTTCTGGTCAGCATTGGCTCACAGGGCCAGGCAGTGCCAGGCCTGGTCTGAGAGGATAAGCTTGCCATGAGCTAAAGAGGGCCATGATTTGTTCCAGAATGCTACCTGACACTCTAGTCTCCCTTGGAGCTACCTGGCCCTGTGGTGGTTATGCAAATAATATTACTGCCATTACCTAGCCCTGGGTACCCCATAACCCAGCAGTCAGTAAGAAGGAGCATGGCAGGTCCCATGGGATTTCTTGTTTGGCTCTACAAGGCCTAGAGAAACAACTTCCTTATTCAACCTGCTGACATTATAGCTGTTGCAATGATTACTTATCATGTACCACATCTTAACTTACAACTTTATAAGTTACAGGTAAGGTGCAAGAATCCTGGGACGCCTGGATGGCTCAGTCAGTTAAGAATCTACCTCCGGCTCTGGTCATGATCCCAGGATCCTGGGATCAAGTCCTGCATCAGTCTCCTTGCTCAGCGGGGAGCCTGCTTCTCCCTCTGCCTGCCGCTCCCCCTGCTTGTGCTCTCTATCTCCCTGACAAATAAATAAATAAAATCTCAAAGAAAAGATGTAAGAATCCTATCCTTAGTTAACCTTAGGCATTTGCATTACCCACCAGTCACTTGATTATGTTTTTTAAAAAATGTTATCTAGAAATGTGTTAACACCAGTGAATACCAGTATATTTTGGGAAAAGCTTTTCTTTACTATGCCTTCATAGAGGCTTTCCATGATGGGATGTTGCAGGGGAACTCAGGGCTCATCTCTGCTCAGGCAAATTCTCACACTCCCTACCCTTACTACAGACATTAGAACATGGACTGTGTTGCCAAACTTCAGAGATATAGACAGACAGATGATAGATACAGAAATCCAGAGACAAAAATAGTCATGAATGTAGGGAGAGAGAGAGAGAGAGAGAAAGAGATTATGTAATTTACAGTCTACTGGGGAGGAGACATCAGAGAAAGAAAGCAATCACTCATTGTAGTAAGAGCTAGAAGGAAATGGTCCTGAAGCAGAGAATGAGGGTGGGGTAGAGGGGGATTCACTTTTCACAGGGAAGTCAAAAACTCTTCCAAGAGTTGCCCTTGGAGATGACTAAGGAATGTGTAGAAGTCCTGGGGCAGACAGCTGGATGGCTGGAGATACCGAAGGCAGCAGGGAACACAAGGCAGCAGCAAAGACAAGTGGCAAGAGAGAGCAGTGGAGAGTCAACCACCCAAACAGTTGGCTAAGATCACCTCTGAATTTATCATCATTCTCTCTACATAATAAAATTGGTAAAATTGAATTTAAATTATGAAGATAACTAACCTTTATATTTTCCTTGTATTAAAATAATTTCATAATAGATTTGTAATTTACTTGGAAATCAATTCAATGATGTCATTTCCTAAACAGTTTCCAAATGCCTCCATCATTAAAGGTCCACATGAAGTAAAAGACTTTCATCAATTCAAGGTTCAAGCTATTTATCATGGCAAAATTCCAGTTAATTGTGAGTCAAAGGGAAGACTGTTTTGCATGCAAAATTAAAGGAAACATTTATAGCACTGATAGTCACTTCAATGTACTTTTTTATTTATGAAAGCATCCATTGCAAAGTTGAATTTTGGAAAGTTCCATGATCATGTCATGCACAGTAAAATTTGTGTACAGTACAGATTAAACACAGTTTTTTTTATTATTCTATTATTGATTGATTTGATATGAGGTAACTGTTCAGGCTCAATTGCCTTACTCTGAAAATGCCCATGAGAGGGTAAGTGATCCTGTGCCTACTCAACACAAGCAACTAAAAATTACAAATAGGAATGTCAATTTGCTTTGAAATGTGATTAACCAACCCTATCATGTTTACAGCTTGTTTCTAAAGTCTAAAAATATTAAGTTCAAAAACTTCACAAGAATGTAATGAATGCACTGAAGTTTTCCAATATGTTGACAAAACACTCCCCTAACATATACCTTGTCTTGCTGTCTTAGAGAAGTAAGTTTCTTCTTCTTTGGAATGCATTTGGAAATTTTTCACTAGAAGAACAGCATGGAAGAAAGAACTGTGGGAAGGGGAGAAATGGGAGAAGAGTACCTCATAAAGTGTTCTCAGCAGGTTAAAGAATTTTTGCCTGGTAGAACAGATTTAACTCTTTTAATCTCAACCTTCTGTGGTATTGTCCTTACATCATTTTTTCTACTTTAAGGGAAGATGGCTGATGGGTCCTAAGCCTAAGCTTGTGAAGTAAGAACTGATTAGCTCACCTGTAAATGCTCACCAACAAGCCCCCAGTGTATGATGTCTGTAAAAACACCTGGACATGCCCATCAGTGTGCTCCCCTCTGGTGGAGACCTGCCCTCTAATACGTGCCAGCAGGGCATCTTATCAGAACACTTAATACATGGTTTTTAACAGACCAACCAGCACAAGACAGGTGGGGCCCACGGCTTCTCTTATTTACTACTGACAGCCAATCCTCTGGCTCCTTGTCTTTTAAAATGAGTCCTGAGACGATCTCTATAAATGAAACATTTGCTACAATCCTGTCATTGAACAAAAGCCACTACAGTTTCACAGGTGAGTGTAATTAGACTATGCTATTCCTTTCCATTTGTTCTCTACAATCTGATTAGACGTGTCACAGCTGCTAGACAAGAGGACATACAGGAATACTATGTAACCAGAGAACTATTGCAAACTCATAATCACTATCATTTCATATTGGTTAACTGTTCTCAGAGAATTTGCTTTAGGATTACAAAGTCCCTGCCTTCCCCAATCATCCTTGACTCTGGTTTCAAACAGCATCCCAAACCTTCATTTGACAAACAAATGAAACAAGGAGAGAAAATCAGAGACCTTAATGCTGGAACTATTTCATTCTGGATTGTTACTCATGGTTGGCAGAATTTTTCTGCTTTTAGCCTAAAAATGACAGTATGTATACTATGAAATAATTTGTTTTCTTATTTGTTTATTTATTTACTTATTTAAAAGAGATCGAGCACAAGTGTGGGCACAGACAGAGGGAGAAGGACAAGCAGACTCCCTGCTGAGCAGGAAGCCCGATGCGGGACTCGATCCCGGGACTCCAGGATCATGACCTGAGCCGAAGGCAGTCGCTCAACCAACTGAGCCACCCAGGCGCCCTATTTATTTACTTATTTAAGAGAGATCGAGCACAAGTGTGGGCACAGACAGAGGGAGAAGGACAAGCAGACTCCCTGCTGAGCCACAAGCCAATGCAGGGCTCAATCCCAACACCCTGAGATCATGACTTGACCTGAAACCAAGAGTCGGCCCTCAACTGACTGAGCCGCCTAGGCACCCCTGAAATAATTTGTTTTCAAAGGCATTTTCTCCACTGATGTAAAACAAGTAGATAGACACACTGGAGAATACTGTAGGTTTTGTGCTCCTGGCTGAGCTAACCCATTTTATTGCTATCTTAATTCAAAGAGGGTGTCCCATATGTAGTTAAGAAAAGCAGAAAGTCCTCCTACATTAAAAGACACAGAACCCATCTTTCAAATAAGTAAAAGACCAATTTTACTGGGATATTTTTCAGAAAAGCAAGGCTGGACAGTACCCCACAGACAAGTGGCAGTTGTCAACCTGTCTCTTTGGGAGGCTGTCTCTTTAACTAGCTTAACATTGCTGATGGCTTTTCCCAGATTCTACCGACAACCTCCACTTCCACTTCCAAGAATGAAGGAAGGTGAGGAGAACTATTCCAAGTTACTCTTGCTCCCAGTAGTATCTTGAAGATATCTTGTTCCAGGCTACCTCCAGGCATCATAGCAAAAACACTGACAACCAAAAGGGTGGCTTAGCTTTGAGGGCAAGTTCCTCACCCTCCTACACCCCGCAAAACAACGTTGGGGGGGCACACCTGCTAATTCTTGAAGCTCCTCCAAGTTCCCCCAGATCTCCCTGAAAATGTTAAGCCTCGCTTGATGTAAAGCTCACCATCCAAAATATCCCTCACGCAGCATGCACAACATATTTTTAGACCTTGATTCACAGTGCAGTCCATCAAAGGGGTTGTGAACCCAAAACACAGCAACAAAATTAAAACTCCGACCTCAGCAATTAGAACACAGTCGGCAACTACCTTGGCAGGGACCCTCCGAGTGGAACAGCTCACCCAGACCCAGGAGCCAATAGGTGGCTGGCCCAGGCGTTGCCATGGCCACGTTGTGTGCTAAGGCCGCGCACGCACCCCGCGCGCGCCCAGAAGCCAATCCGCAGCCGGCCGAGGCGTTGCCATGGCCACTCTGTGAGTTAGGGCCGCGCGCGCGCGCGCGCCGGGTTGGGGAGAGTCGGCCCAGCTGCCCCAGGCCCAGGGCAAGCAAGGGTCGCGTTAGCCGCGCGCCCCTAGACAGCCGCCGCTGCCCAATTCTCGACGCGGCATGAACCGCAAGAAGCTGCAGAAGTTGACGGACACCTTAACTAAAAATTGCAAGCACTGTAAGTAAGAATCAAGTGCTGGATGAGCAGAAGATCCCTGAAGGGCTTGTGTTCTACCTGGTACTAATGTCCGCTGCTCAGCCTGCTTCCCACCTCCAATCTGAGTGCCCCTGGAGTCCCCTTTATGTCCCCTAAAGAGAAATTTGGAAAGGAATCCCTGGATGGTAGTTCCTTGGGCTGGGTACCCATGCTTGCCCATGATCTTAAGGACCAGTATACAGGTATCCAGGCATCTAGTACTACAGTCCCACACATGCACTAACTTGCTTTTCAAACCCTCTTCTTAACTTACCTTTCCATTATAGAAACGTTATTTATATACTGACATGACATGTGTGGTTTTAGTCTCAGACACAGGTGTGAAGAAAACTAGCACAACCAACATAGACCTGCTTTCTAGCTCTTTTTAGTGCAAATAAACTGGCAGGGTCCAATTTCTGAAAAATTACCAGGAGATCCATAAAGGGAAAATGGTTATCAATAGCTGAACATTCTTAGAAAAGATGAGTTGAAATGGCACAAAAACCTGAATCTCAGAGCAAGGAAATGTGTCTGGAGACCAAAGAGTTTCAAAAAGCTAAACACGCAGTGAAGAATCTGCTCCCAACTCCAGACTTGGACTTTGCGGTTGCTGGTAGGATTGCGAGGTAAGGAGACTTTGCAGGTGACAAAATGAGCACTTATTAAAGATACCTGCTCCAATCACACCTTCTAAAACGTGGTCTTAGAATTTCATAGATAACTTTAGAATTGTATTCAGACTGAAAAACAGAACTGTACTTGGGGCAAGGAAGCTTAGATATGGTTTAGAATGAGAAAGATACTGTCTGATGAGCAAGCTTATAAATTGTGTTGCTGATTGCAAAACTAATGGCCACTTGAGAAAATAGGAGAAGCCATAATCCTAGTACCACCCCCATCGTGCAAAGGAGGAACAGGTTTATTGTAGTTCTAGAGCTTATAAAATCTAGTGCTTTCTAGTTGTATTTAGTATCTAATGTAAAAGTGGTGAGATGTGTTCCCTTGGTGAAGTGGCACTGTAAATAAAAGTGATGATGTGAATAAACACCTGAAACTTCTTAGCAAAAAGCCATCCTATAATTTAAAGTATTATTGTGGTTATTATAATGTGGTGAGAGTTTGTTCTGTTGTTGTTTTTCTCAAAATAATTCCATTTCAAGGAAAAGACCAGATCTTCTTAAAACATCTCGTGAACATTTTGAAAAAGTAATGCAATAACTGATAGACACAATGCTGAATTTGTTTTTGTCCCTGTTCAGTAAGTATGCAATGTATTGCAGGCATTCTATGAACGATCAAAAGGTGAAATCATTAAAAGTTAAAGGAAAACCTGGCAGGAAAAATAGTCAACTCTTTTGATTTTTGTCCTTACATCAAATTTTTTAAGTGGGCCTTAGAAACCTTGATAATTACTAGTTAAATTCTATAGAAAGAGTTACAAGTCATGGACATTGTAATTAAAAACTTTTTTAAACAGAGAACCTTTCCCCTAAAGTCAAATTTCCTTTTGGTTGACAGATGATAATCCCACCAGGATGAAATGGATAAATTCTGTAGAATCAGAGAAAAAAAATGTCTTAAGTGATTACCCAGCTAATCTACCATTCGACAGATATGATCTGTAGAACACATTTAGACCAATTCAAAAAGATGAAAATCCATTCTTAAGTTTCCCTTAATTTCATTTAGTATTTTGTTCTGGAATTTAAGAAATTTCAGCAAGAAAAACTTTCTTATGGCTAATCTTGGATCCTTTGGGTAATAAATTAAGGTAATATTCTTTAATTTTTATTTTAGCCAAGATGGAAAAATGGCTAATTAACAACCCCTCTGCTAACATTTCATGTACATGAACATCATTCTTTATGCAGGCTTTTCTTCTCCAACCAGTAACAGCTCTTTTATTTTTGGAGGTTTGTGTGTGTGGTTAAATATATATAACAAAATTTGCCATTTTAAGTGTACAACTCTATGACATTAAATACATTCACATCGTTGTGCAGCCATTACCACCATCCATCTACAGAACTTTTTCAACTTTCCCAACTGAAACTGTATGCATTAAACTATAACTCCTCCTTTCCCCCTTCCCGAGCCCCTGGCAACCACCATTCTAACTTTCTGTATCTGTGAATTGCACCACTCTAGGTACATCATGTAAGTGAAATCATACAATATTTCTCCTTTTATATCTGACTTATTTCACTCAGCAGAATGTCTTCAAGCTTCATCCATCTTGTAGCATGAGTCAAAATTTCCTTCCTTTTCAAGGCTGAATCATTCCATTGTATGTATACACCACATGTTATTTATCCATTCATCCACTGATGGACACTTAGATTGCTTTCACCTTTAAGGCTATTGTGAATAACATTGCTATGAACAAGAATCTGAGTCCCTGCTTTCAATTCTTTTAAGTATATACCCAGAAGTGGAATCACTGATTTACATGTTATTTCTATGTTTAATTTTTTTGAAGAACTGACATGCCATTTTCTACAGCAACTAACAGCTCTTTTTAAAATTATAATCATTATATTCTTTTCTATTATTTAACCAGTTTTTAACCAAATCATTTATTTCCCCAAATTTTCAAAGTTCTTCCAAAATTGTGGTACCCCAAACCAGAAATCACACTCAAGCCTGTCTTGACTTGTAGATGAGGCATGATTTCTCCATTCCTATCTGCTGTCTTCCTTTATTTTGTTTATTTTTTCTGCAATATAATCATTTTTCTTTTCTTCAATTTTTAAAATTTAGTTTATTTAAACCAAAAACCAAAACAATTCACCCTTAAATGCATGCAAATTTCATCCTTATTTTTAAAAGTACTGAACTGTAATTTTATTTTGTTTTGAAATAAAAGCTTTCTCATCCTCCACCTATACTTCATATTTAAACTCACTTTTATGCCAGGCAATAATGCCTCCACCTATGTACCTCAAATGGAATTGGAACACAAATAATTAGCTCAGGGTTTATAAACACCCTTTATACATTTATGTGTATGGACCAGCATCCATATCTGTGTATCTATTTTAAATAAAAATTCCCTTTCTCCAAAATACCACTGAGTACTTGCATGTTAATTTTTCACATCATGTACAACAAGAACCATAATGGGTGCTATAATATGGTTAAATGCTTCTTTATTAGAAAAAAAGGTGATTCTGATATCCAAAATCCAGCTTACTGATTTGACTAAGGCTGATGATGTGAAGTGAAAATTGTTGCCTAGTATTCAGGAGTCTGGTATCTATTTCCAGGCAAAAGTTAAGTTGTAAATCTCATAAATGGCTATAATCAAAATGCTGGGGAAAAGTTACCATTCTTAAGCATTAACTTGCTTACTTTGAATTGCACCTCCACTGCCTTTAAAGTTTAGCATCTGACCCCACAGTCATTTTTCAAGTAACTTAGCTAATATTCTTTTCTTCCTAAATGTGACTGAATTTAATATTCAACTCCTGTTTGGAGGGAAGGCTGTTTCTCTTATTTTAGTGGAGAATCCTCTGTAGTGGTCATCCTCTATTAAGGGTCATGAATCTTAAAACAGGATAGTCTTCTGTTGAAAACTAAATATTTGATGGCCTTGATGTTGTCTATAAACTCATTAATGTGAAATTTAAGTTAGAAATTAAAGATTAAAATGCATTTTTGTTATATCTTAATTTTATTTTTTCACAGTTAATAAATTTGAAGTGAACTGTCTTATAAATCTTTTTTATAATTTGGTGGGAGAAGTAACAGAGCGGCAAGGTATCACCATTGGGTTAGATCGTAATGCATTTCGAAATATCCTGCACATGACATTTGGAATGACAGATGACATGATTATGGACAGAGGTAAGAAGACATTACAATATTCAAATGGGCCAGATACAGCCATAACTGGAAAAAAAAAAGTTTGGAGTTTGGACATATTCTTAATGTTCTGAATTCCCAATCTCACTTGAATATAAAAAATTAATTTGTATATTCATAGGAAAGGGTCTTAGGGAAGGTGATTCTACCCACTCTATTCTGTGTCTTTAAGAAAAGAACGAAGCCCAGCTTAAATAATTAGGTTTTCCTTACTTTATACCCAAAAATCTAAACTATTTCTATTTCTACTTAGTAAATATAATAAGTAAAAGAATAGTTTTAAAAGGACATATGAATTTCTTGGGCACCTGGGTGGCTCAATTGCTTAAGAGACTGCCTTGGGCTCAGGTCATGATCCTGGAGTCCTGGAATTGAGTCCTGCATCGGGCTCCCTGCTCAGCAGGGAGTCTGCTTCTCCCTCTGACACCCTCCCCATGCTCTCTCATTCTCTCTCTCTCAAATAAATAAATAAAATCTTTTGAAAAAGAAAAACAGGACATGAATTTCTTTATATCATCAAAAATGTTTCAATAAAAATTGTCACTTTCCAATTGTGTAATAGCATTACTTTTCTTGAGTAAGAAAAATATAAAATCACATATTTTATGTTAACATACCAATACATTTAATATACCAATATATTCATATATTAATAATTATTGATTACTATATTTAGATACTCAGAATTTACTTTGTTTCCACAAAATATAAAGGGAGTGTGTGAAAGTTTAAATAAAAGAGTTTTCCAACATTATGATATCTTAGTTTCCTCCTTTGTCAAATGAGCATGTCAGACCATCTGATCCTGAAGTTTTGTCTACATTTTAAAAATGGGTAGCACCAGTGTAAATATATTACTGAGAACAAAAATGCAGCACAGGTATTATGTTGTACTTCTCTCTTAGTATTCCGAGGTTTTGATAAAGACAACGATGGCTATGTAAACGTATCAGAATGGATTTATGGATTATCAGTATTTCTTCGAGGAACTTTGGAAGAAAAAATGAAATGTAAGATTTCAGGTTATCCTATTGCTTCATACATTAGGATTAATGTATCTAAAGAACTTACATCCATGTCTTCCAACCTGGCCAGTAAAATAGGTTTGTCTTTCAGTTGGTTAGTTTGAATCCCCATTAACCTCTTTTATGGAGCCAATTCAAGTCAATGATAAAGATTGAAAAAAAATAATACCAAGGAAAATCAAGAGATTCTGAGAAGTAATTCATGCCAAGCAAGACTGCATAAGCATGTACTACACATGCTAACTATGTACAAATGCATTTATGTATTAAGGTATTAAATATTTTTCGTATTTCGTTACCTGAATTGTTAACCGTAAAAGTAGAGAACATAGATAAGAGTGTTCTGATTCTTGGTTAACTCTTAATTCATTCTGATGAACTCTGTTTAAGGATTATATTTGTCAGTTTTCCAAGAATTTCAAGATGAAATGGTCAAATCATTGTTCCTTGGCATGCTTATTCATAGCTGAGTGAGTGTAAGGAGCCATTTTCTAAGGGTTGTTGACCATATCCAGCAAGTGTACATTAAGCATTTACTATGGAAATTAGATTGCATTAAGTCCTGCAGGGTTGACATGAACATCCACAATACAGACCTTGGCCTTGAACATTTTATCAGAGCAAATGTTCCCTTAGTCATAGTATCAAACTCATAATTGGTTATTTTTTTAAAAGATTGCTTTGAAGTGTTTGATTTGAATGGTGATGGATTCATTTCAAAGGAGGAAATGTTCCATATGTTGAAGAACAGCCTTCTCAAACAGCCATCTGAAGAAGACCCTGATGAAGGAATTAAAGATTTGGTTGAAATAACACTTAAAAAAATGGTAAGTATGGGAAATTTAGAGTTTTATATTGAAATTTACAGGCCAGAATGGGATAGAAATAATTAAAATTATATAACTATCAGTTTCTTGCTTGGTAAAATAAAATACTTATATTGTGTTTTTAATTATAATATTAAAAGTTCTTTTCTGTTTCATTATTTAGTATCTCATTTTTCCAACCCTTTCTTCTATCAACATCTGACCATGAAAAAACAGTTTGTGTTTGTGATAAATATTATACATATTGACTGATGCATTGCTGGTCACCCCCTAGGACCATGACCATGATGGGAAGCTGTCTTTCACAGACTATGAACAAGCTGTGAGAGAAGAGACCCTTCTACTGGAAGCTTTTGGACCATGTCTTCCTGATCCAAAGGTAATGATATTCCTTTCACTGAACAGTGACCAATATATAATGTAGGATCAACAACCCAGGACTTCTTGGTTTGGTGAGTGAAAAACCAGATGAATTACATTCACCCACAGAGAATAGCTTCTAAGTAGAGAAAGCCAACAGAAGAAGAACCTGCTGGTTCATTTCATAGTACTGCTGTAGCCTAATGGTATTTTTTCCCATTCATTAACTCATTCATTCATGTAAGAAACAATTATTAAAGCATAATGTGTTCCAGAAACACAGATGAAAGTCTCCATGTCTGCATTCAAGGGCTAATATTTTCCTGGGAAAAGCCAATGTGAAAATAATTACACGACAGTGTGATAAGTATTACTATAATATGACTTGTTCAGTGCTTCATCTATGCCAGGCAGTGTCTTAAGCACTGCCCCATATTACTTCATTTAATCCCGCTAAAAATCCTATGAAGGATATAGTATTATTAATCCTCATAGATGAGGAAACTGAGGCTCAGAGAGTTTAGGCAAGTTGTCCAAGTTCAGTCACCAATTACGGAGTATCCTGCATGCCCTGGTGCTCAAGTCCATAGAGATATGTGTAGGAGAGTGTTGCAGTAGTCAAGGGCATCTAATCCAGCTGTATAGAATCACTGGTGAATAGCTGATGGGGCAAGGAAGGCCTACCTGGGTTGTTAGGCCATAATAGTTATCCAGGTCAAAATGGAGAAGAGCAATCTAAGCAAGGGAATGGCATATGCATGAGGGTGGGAAGGGGAAAGAGAAATAAGTACTATATTAGAAGAACGTTTAGTGTGGTATGAGACTGATGTTGAGGCTGGACATGCATAGCAGAGCCAAGTCCAATGGAGCTTGGAGCTTGGATTTTTGTCTTGAAGCTCATGAGGCTTAATTGGAAGATTTTAAGCCAGTGGAGTGATGTGATATATAAATATTACCATATCCACCTTCCCAATCTCTAGTTGATATCTCCAGCTGCCTACTCAACATGTCAGTAGATAATCTCAGTAAACTCTTGCTTTTCCCCTAAAAATCACTCCCCACCATCTTCCCTGCCTCAACAAATGACACCCCTATACGCTCAGATTTAGTCAGAAACCTAAGTCACCGTTAATTTCCCTCTTAGAGCACTATCATCTACTACTTCAAAATATGTCCTTGAATATAACCTCTTTTCCACATGTCTGTGATTGCCAAACTAAATCAAGCTGCCACTCAGTCACCCAGCCTAGATCATTAGCTTTCTTGCTTCTACAGTTGTCCCCTACTGACTAATCTCCACAACATCCAGTATATTTGGAAACACAGATGCTGTCATGCCCCTCCCTTGCCTAAAACTCCCAGTGTGTCTGAAGTCTATTCAGTGGGCCTCCTTTTCTCTCTCCAACCATGGTCTCCTGCTACCTTCCCAATGGAGTGCTCCTGCCCTGGAGCCATTCCAGCCACCTCGCTGTTCTCCCTAGGTGCCTTTGCATTTACAGTAGACTGTGTCTAAGCATCCTGTCCCCAGACCTTCACATGCCTCAGACCCTCACTCCATTCAGTCTCTGTGCAGATGCCATCCACCATCTTAACTATTCCTCTCCCTCCATGCCTCACCACTGCCTCTTTTTTCTTCAAAGTTATTATCATTACATAGGATATATTTACTCATTTACTTATTGTCTATCTCAACACATAGATGGGAAAGAATGAAAAGGAAAAGGAAGGAAGGAAAGAAAGAAGAGAACTTACCTTAATCCCACACCTACTTCTATTTCCTGTCCAATGGCTTTCTTTTTCACAGTCAAATGTCATGAGAGAATTGTCTATATTTGTGACCTACACTACCATGGCTTCTTCAGCATACTCCTGAAAGAGCTCTTGCTAAGGTCACCACACTCTACTTGTTAATAAATCCCAAGAGTAAGCTTCTTGTCTTGATGGACTATATCTCTTCCCCACCCCAGTTCTCAGTGCTGCTTCTCAGCTTCAGGAAGCACCTCCACTCCAGCTGTAGCCTGGCTGTGACATCACATGGCCTCCTGAAATCCAGAGCCCTGGTGTGTTTACCCTATCACACCCTCCCTGCAGTGAATTAAGCTCAGTTTCTGGCCATCCAGCCACCAGGCTGGAGGCTCCTAGAAATCTGTGTCATGTGCTCTTGTTCGTCTTTGTGGCCCCAGACCAAATGTCATGTTGGAACATAGCACTGTCACCACCTGTGAATGGAAAATGAATGAGTGTCACAAATTCTTTGTCCCCAGTCTTCTTCAGTTATCTTGTGGCTCTTCAAACATAAAGGAGACTTACAGAACATTTTGTTTTTCTTAGCTTTTTTGGAAGTCTGACTAATTTGAGCACGTTTTTTACAGAGTCATATGGAATTTGAAGCCCAAGTATTTAAAGATCCGAATGAATTCAATGATATATGAATACCTAAATGTCTGTGTTATCTCAAGTGAGTAAAAAAAGAGGCGCATATGTATTGTTTATTTTTTCTACTTAGCTCAGAGAGATAATGTTGAATTGTGTCTTTGGGGTGGGGAATGGGGCTCACCAACATGTATCATTCAGCTTTGGGGCAAGATGCAAGTGAAATAAATGGAAGACAGGAAGTCCCTTATTAAATGTTGGGTTTGGCAAGACAAATTCGCATTGCCAGATATTTTATCACATAAACTATCTATTGGAGCATATAACTATCATAAAACATTTGTATTAATGAAATGAGTAGAGAGATTACATAAGCATGAATTATTGAGGTAAATATTCTTCATGTCAGAAAATGCTGGGTATACATTTAAAAATCAGTGAAATACACAAACAATGAATCATGGAACACTACATCAAAAACTAATGATGTAATGTATGGTGATTAACATAACATAATAAAAAAAATGATCCTAAAAAAATAAAAATAAAAATCAGTGAAACTACTGAATTTCCTTTGGAGCAGTAAATAATGAAGACAGCATCTAAAAAAGAATAACAATAGCATTTAGCATTTAAATACCTCTCTGCTAGGTATTGAGGGACATTCAGAGAGCTGAAAGGAACATGTACCTACTTCAATATAATGCATATTATTGTTTGAGGCTTTGCCAGAATAATCTACATAGACAGTAAGCATCTGAGGGCAGGGGTCCCCGCACCCATCTTTATGTCTGTCACAGCATTTAGCACAGTCCTTTGCACAAAATGGGCCCCCAGTAAACATTGTGGATGGAAAAGTACAAAGTGCTACCAGATAAATCCAAATTCTTGGTGAGCAGAGAGAAAAGAAAGTGCTGTTTTTGCACATAATGGATGATGTGGCCACAGCTTTCAGTCTATCTCTGGAGTCACTCTGATGCTCTCCACCCCACTGCAGTTGGCTGCAAAACCCCCTGTCTTCCCCGACTCCCTCTGTCTCTCCACCTCAGCCCCACCCCTTGTCCCCATCCCCCTGACTGGGTGCACCTCAGTGTCATCCCCCACCTCTTGGAATCCCCTCATGTACCCCTTAACAAGAAGCACATCACATCGTGTCCCACCAGCAGTGAAGTCCTGAAGACAGAACCACTTCCTCTCTGCCTCCTACCATCCAGCAGGTGCCTATAGGCATTGAATGCAGCATTGGAAAGATGGGACCTACTTGGGTTCCTATAGCTACCGTTTACCCCTTTCTTAAATGCATGCAAGCAGCTGAGAGAAGTATTATGCACATACCCTCTCTGTCCATATGTAAACCTTCAGAGGCTGCTTGGGATATTAAATCCCTTTTGTTACTTCATATGTGTCAAGTTTAAGCAAAAGAGTACCTTGTATAAAAAAATGGACTGTTACAAATAAATGTAATAAGTGATCCCATGAAATAAAAAGTATTTTACCTTCTAAGTATTTTCTTAAAATTTTAGATTCTTAAGTAGATGAAGTTTGACACAATTTTTCTGTCTTGAGTAGGTATAAATAGTGAAACACAATGCTTTTAATTTTTAAAATTTATATTTTTCTGATTACAAATAATAGGGGTCCATTGAAGACTTAGAAGTTTAGGAAATTAAAAACTAAAATTTAAATATTCATCAATATTCTGGTATAGATCCTTTCAGGCTTTCTTAAGGCATTTGTAAGTATAGCTATATTTTTGCACAGAGTATACCTATATTCTTTTTTAGATGATCGTATTGAAAATGCTTTTTTGTAAGCTGCTCTTTTTATGGACCACTATCTCATGGCATTTTCTCAGATCACTTAATATTTGTCTACAGCCTGACTGGCAATGGCGAGCTGGTGTTCCATCACAGCAGACCTTAGTAAAGCACTTCCCTGCCATTGACATTTCAGTTGTTCCCACATTTCTTTTACAAATAATTCCCAAGTGAACTGTCCTTGTAGATAAATCTTCTCATGTTCATCATTGCTTGCTTAATCTGGGTAAGTTTTGAAAAATGAGTGTTCGGTTAGAGGCCCAGCTTTGAGGTTTCTAGCACATGTTGCCAGATTGCCCTCCAGGAAGGCCTGCTGGGCCTGGTGCATGGGATGCTGATTCTCCCTTCCCTGTGGTGCACATTCTTTTCACCTCTTTGCTGATGTCGTGGACCATAATTGACCATGGTTTTAATTTATCATTTAAAGAACTAATCTTATACGTCTATATCTAAACTTTTATTGTAGATTGTGTAAAAGTTGACTTCCGTGTGAATAACACTATTTTATTAGTTGACATTATTTAAAACTAAAAAACCTTTTTAGAAAAGTCTAAATAATTTTAGTGAAACTTAAGATGGTGTTGGTACAGACTCATGAGTTCTGTTCAAGAGCGTCCCCATACATTATAGAACACACTTCCTCATCATATCTGCCCAAATCATTTCCTTTTGTGACTATATCTGGATTTCCGGATTCTCTTAATTTTACTACCGTAGCAACTCATAAATGATTTTAACACTGAAAGTTCTCTCAACTTAATAGCAGGGTCATCCAAGTACGCAGAGAACCTTTGAGGAAAAGCCCTCTTTCTCTCACTCTGAGCTCCGTGTCTGGCTCTGGGCCTTGCCTGCCTGCTGCTAGCCTGCGCTGACTCCAGCCCCCAGGAACAGCCAGCCTTGCTCAGCCCTATCTTTGCCGGCCTCTGGGTGGCTGGGTTAGGACTACGGATGAGCAGTTATAATTTGGAGGGCTGACTATAGCCTTCCTCTCAACTGGGTCCTCAAAGCGTTGGCTTCCCCTTCTTCTAGTGCCCTGGGAGGACCAGCAGAAAGCCAACCAGGACTCTCTGGGGGAGGTACACATTGCTTTGCTCACAGCATGGAGAGAGTCTGTCTGGGAAACAAGTACATTTTTTAAACTACAGGATTTAAAAACTACCACTGAAAACTGGTAGTCCTACATTCTTAACCTGCAAATATCTTTGTGTACAAGATTGCACTTGTTAAGAAGCCAAGCCTGCAATTGCTTGCATCATAAAGTCATCCAAAACATTCACCAAGTTCCCACTTTGTGCTAAACCATGGGGGTGAATATAGTCTAAGTCAGTTGCCCTGCTCTCACCTCATTTCTGTTGTAAAATGAGGACTCTATGCCATGTGACAACTGTGTCATCACCTTTACGATTTGGATGCAGTTACAGTCCCTTTTCTGCTTTCTAGCCCCCCCCCCAAAAAATAGTTATATCATTTTTAATTAAAGGATATTGTTTTGGGAGGGCTTTTTTGAAGATTTTATTTATTTGTTTGACAGAGAGAGAGAGAGACAGGAAGAGAGGGAACACAAGCAGGGGGAGTGGGAGAGGGAGAAGCAGGCTTCCCGCTGAGCAGGGAGCCCTATTCAGGGCTCCATCCCAGGACCTTGGGATCTGACCTGAGCCGAAGGCAGATGCTCAACGACTGAGCCACCCAGGTGCCCCTAAAGGTGATTGTTAAAGGAAATTAAAATCAAATATACTTTGAAATTGTGGAGACAGCCATGTCTGGGAAAGGCTACTCTGAGCTGCTCCTTGGATTGTGCATTTTCACTGACTGTATTTTATGTGTCCATTTCCTTACAGAATCACCCCCAGCTCTTCCACAGTCATCCCAGAGCTGATGGTAATTCTCACCTAGTGTGGCCAAGAAAGGATGGCAACTGCATTTGACATGGAGAGATTATTATAAACAATCCATAATAAAATAGAAATTTAACCTATGCATATGTTAATTACAATTTGGCGAATCTTGAGGATTGGCTGGTAATATTTCAAAAAGAGGGAGAAGTGATATATTTATCTTTTCTGATTCAGTGACCTTGTTCTCTGTTAGAATGAAGCAGATGATCTCTTCAAATGTTTTCCAGTCTCAGTTACCACTGAAGGAGGAGCCAACCTAAATACATACCATCAAATCAATGTCCCTTTCTCATGAGGTCTCTCAAGGAAACTTGCTCAGTTTTGAAGGGGAGCAAAAAGGGAAGGCAGTCTTAGCAATGAACTATCCTGCATGAAACAAAGCATGCTTCCACATTTGAAATGTCTTTATCAGAGTGCCATTAACCTGAGCAGTGGTTAACTGCTCACAGTTCCATCGTTGGTAATTTGTGGCTTTCTGTGTACCTCCTCCTGCCTCCTACCTAATCCGTCAAGAAAATATTCCTCCCCCTAAGACACACATCCTCTTGTTTATTTTCACCTCCCTCCTGCCTGTGGAGCTCTACACTACCCCTATTATGTGGCCCCAGCCAGACTCACAGAGAGTTCCCTGGGTGAGAAGCTTGTCAACTTAAAGGCATTTGAATAAGTTGGGTGAAATACAGGCTGTCCTCCCCTTAACCTGAGGTGCACCTTCCTGTCTCCCATCCCCATCTCCAAAGGCAGCCCAGAGCTGGGCAACAGTGAGCTTGAAGATGGAGAATGGCACAGAAGGAAGCAGAGGAATTTACAAGTTCTCCTGCAAGAGACATTTAGAGCTAGTGTCACTACCTCCCTGTAGGAGTGATTAGCTCCAAAGCCCAGGGCAGTCCAGGAGAGTAATTAAAACCATTTGGTCAAGTCCTTCTTAATGACTCCTTCAGAAATACAAGAGAGTCAGAAAGGGGGATAAAACCATCCCCACAATCTCAATAATACATTATACAAAAATCCAGTGAGCACATTTGTTCCAGGTGTTATGCTAAGTCCTTAACATTCATTATCTTACTCATTTCTCACAACTATCCTAAGAGGTAAACATAAACATTACTTATTGTCTTCATCCTACAGATTGAGAAATTGGAGTTTAAGAAAATCAAGAAACTCCTTCAGTGTCCTAACCTGGTCAGGAACAAAGCCAAGATTCAGACCTCATCTAGTTCTAACATTGAAAACCTTTCTCTAAAGCAATATGTGTTCTTGCCATACATATTCCTGAGGTTTGAAATTACTGAGCACCCCTGTTTCCTGAATAATCTTCAAATTGCTCCTTCAAGCCTCCCTAGAGGTGCTTGGTACTTGGCATGCTAGTGAGTGAGACTGTTGACAACTCTCTCCAAGGGTACTGTTCTCATCTGAAACACCTTGGAGTTTTCTTTCTTTAGTTGAAGTTTCGAATTTGGATGTGAATGTGCCCACATTTGGAACCAATAGGAATCTAGACACTGGGCTGGGACCTTGCCTTGTCAAGAGTCCACATGTGGTGAATGGGGTTCATGAATGGTGGCCAAGCTGTTAGACTCTGTGGCTCGATGGTCAGCACAGGGTTAGAAGTGAGATGAGGGTCAACCAACCATGGAAGGAGAAAACAGAGGCTAAGACCATTGCTGGTTTGCAAGGAGAAGGACAGAAGTCCTTCAGAAAGGAGAGGAAATGGCTGGACTCCTC